TAAGTTAACATTTTGAGTTTGCAGTTTCACATTGAGTGGTCAGTTGGATACAGATAATCAGCAGCATCCAGAAACTGAAACGCTTTCTGCCTTGGAGAGCAGCACCAAAGTCAATTTGACGCATCTTGGCAGATTCAGACTTCTCAATCTGCTTGATAAGTTCAACAAAACGATAAATGTCTGGATGATGATGTGGCAGAGACTTGTTTAGTCGGCAGTGGAAGCCTTCCAGATTATTGTTCGTGCGAGGTCCAATGTTTCGGTGGTGATTCATGGATGAGAAGAAAAAGGGAGGACTAGACGTAACATGACAGTCACAAGAACATGAGACCCGTAAAAGTCCTGGTTAGAATAGGTTTCAGCAATCCTTGCTTGCCGTAAGAGGCGACAATGCTTGTCGTAAGAGGCGACTAACGGGATCGGGTGGTCAGGCTCGCTGACTTGATTGATGTATGTCATCGTGTCCCAGTTGCGTAGATCGATGCTCATGATGTCAGTCACTGGTTTGTCTGGTCCAGACTCGATTATAGATAGACCAACGTCATATAGTTGGAATATTGCTGAGTGCGGCGTTAAACAACAAACTAAAAAAAACCAACAGAACATAATGGCGGTGTATTGTTAGGGTGCAAAGAACCAAGGTAGACGACAGGAGTGTACAGTCAAACAATGGGCGTTTGAGATGACTTGATCAATCTTGGGTCATGCCCCTACAATAGGTCAAACTGTTTCAAAACCGGTACAACGGCCGTTTGCAATATCTCATCCGAGTATCTCGTAACGTTCAAATTTCCATCAACCCTTGAATCTTTCCTGCAGCCGCTATTTCAGCCCCGATCATAACGCGACCACCTCCAAAGCGATCGCCTTTAAGAATACATGGCGTGACGCAACGGTCACGTCAACGCCTGTCCTGCCGTCAGATCTATGAAGGAGGAAACTTGATTAATCAGTTAGGAGGACCCTTCTCCAGTGATGTTCTGTCCACTGTGTAGTCTGCGCCACTGGAGACGTTGACGTTCATGTCATGCCGTCAGGATTGGCGTCTGGCTTGGCGTCTGGATTGGCGCCTCGCACGGATACTGTAGACACGTATTTGACGTCGGACTGTCATTGCAGATATGCCTCTGTTGCCGGGGATGGATAGGCGTGGTTCGAATAGATATGTCCTGGAGAGGGGTTGCCAAGGGTTGGCGGCCTCTACCGGGACGGTCTCTGACGTTCTTGTTCTGTTGATAACGTCGCCATTAGTGCCAGATGGTGTCCCTGTGGACGTTGGATACTGACGTCCGACGTCACGCTGCGAGGCACCGGATTTTTACGGGTCGCCAAGTGTCATTATATTACATGGTAAAATCTCATCAAAACGATCAAACGGGGTGTTTCCCTGAACTCTGCACTTCCAAAGATTGCTTGGAGAGGCATATTTGATATCTGGTCTTTTATAGAACATTTGAATATAAACAACAAAACTCTTTCTACAATCTTAAAAAAATATCCGTTAAAAGCCATTGTACAATTCCGACTATCAAAAGCATCATTATTGCGAGAAAACACATTTCCATAATCATTAGTGTGTGAGTATGGTTTTACGCCGCTTTTAGCAATATTCCAGTAATATTACGGCGGGGGACACCAGAAATGGGCTTCACACATTGTGCCCATGTGGGGAATCGAACCCGGGTCTTCAGCATGACGAACGAACGCTTTAACCACAAGGCTACCCCATCGCCCCAACCAAAATCATTTAAAAAATCCATTGTACGTTTCCGACTATATAAGCATGTGTTTATGAAACACTATCAAATAGTGAGGACATCAGGTGTTCGCAAAAGGTGAGCATATTATGCTGCACCGGTGACAAAAAACAATGCAAAGGTAAGTCAATTGTTCACCTGAAAAAACAAAAACACTCGAACATGAATATGTCAAAAGTCAAAATAAAGAATCGTTTTGGTCACTGGTGAGTCGATCGCGAGTAACATTGTCAAAAATCACTTTTCAGGGGTATATAACATTATGCTCTCGAGTCGCGGTCATGTTCAAAGCGGCGTTTAACCCAATCACTCACAAACATGTCTTCAGGTTTTGGAGTCAAGCCAAACATTCACGTCAAACTCACGTTCAGCAATTCCGGAAAGGGATGGTTAGGCCATTCACATATTACGCATCACTCTATCCCAGGGTTGCGCAATGGATTGATAATTGAACCTATTTGGAAAGCACAGACTTTGAGGAGTTAATGTCAGGGGGGAATATTTTGCCCTCACGTGAACAGTATCTAGTGCATCACAGGAAACGCGAAGTTATGCAGGTATAAACCTACTTTGGTGAACCCACGGGTGCTGACAACACAATGCTCATTAAACCACGGACTCACACACAAGGGGACGTAACTCCTCTGAACATTGAATAGCTGCGTATATGACCGGCCATCTGTTAGACTAACATCTAGTCTCTGAAATGAACATATCGTACAGAAAAAACAGTTGTTAAGTTATCTTAATAAAAATATAATAAAGGGGAGCCCAGTGACTCTCTTCATTTTCAGATACTGCAGTAATCTAGACTTGCCAAACATTATAGACTTGCATGGTCTGTATTTGATATATATTTGTATCAGGGTCTGTAAAACAGACTAACAAACTCTGAAAAGCACTAATGTCGACTGCTAATTTACATATTCCCCACATACGACATGCATGCACTAGGCTCAATTGTAGGGGACCGGACAGTCTTATTTATATATTTCTTTTTAAATCGTGGGTGTGGGGTGAGTGAATTGGGTGTTTTGTATGGACACTGGATATTCTTTCACCGTATAATTGTACTATATATATAACTATAAGTGTAGCTATTATTTTTGAAAATACATCTTCTCAGAAGGAAGAGATCGGATCCATAAATCTGCACACATGGAATCAACTTCAAACAACATCTTGGAGAACGGAAATGAAGTTTTCTTTTTGTTCATTTGTTTCTTACCTACCGACCAAATAAAGCTCTTCTTACATAAGTTATTGATTTCTTACAAAATCAACACTTAATTTATATTCGCAGTTTTGGCACTAAAATGCTCCAGGCAGTTATTAAAAACATGACTATATTTATCTGACAAAAACATTGTAAATGTACGGAAGCCCTTTAGTGCCATTTTGTTTTGTTTTTTTGTCTTGAAATTTCAAGATACTAACTTGAAATTCAAGATATATACTAAGTTGAAATTTCAAGATAAAAATAACAACCTTGAAATGTTTAAAACTTGAAATTTCAACTTATTATCCTTAAATTTCAAGTTATTATCTTGAAATATCAACTTAGTAAGTATCATAAAATTTCAACATAACATCTTGAATTTCAACATAATATATTGAATTTTCAACTTAGTATCTTGAAATTTTACACTTAGTATCTTCCGATTTCAAGTTAGTATCTTGAAATTTTAACTTAGTATCTTGAAATTTCAAAAAGGTAAATAGCCCTCAAAGACCACCGTATAATTGTACTAGTTTATTGAAATTATTAAGATTATTTGCAACGAAAATCAAATAAAGTGCCCTTGCACTCTACACAGAGTTACATAAACCTGAAACCGTAGAGTTCCCCACGCGGATGTCTCTGTCATAATTGTTTTCCGCTCATGAACAGCGTACATTATCTCCGACACCGTCAACACTATTTAGGATTCCTGAGCGTCAAGATTTGTCAATAGACGTCAACAATCAAATAAACATATTTGGACGACTAACTGTTTAAGCCGATAGATAATATAAAAGATGCTTTCGTCTGGATATTAATATGATATTTTTTTCTACATTTGTTTAACAAAAACATCGTCGCGGTTTATAATGCGGTTACTAACCGGCTCAGTTCGAACAAACATCTGACTTATCTGACGAACTGATGGAAGTGTATGACACGCTCCAATAGCAACATATGGTTCAGAGGTGTGGGGCTCTCAACTCATTAAACACCAAGACGTTCTACAAAACAGGTCTAAACAGCAAGTAAATTCATTAAGCATCAAGATTGCAAAGATTATCTTAGCAGTTCCTCGCAGAACAAGTAACATCGGCTGTCTGGCAGAACTTGGACTCTATCCCCTTAACATTTCAATATTCATTCGGCTATTAGATGTGAAGAATGATAGATTACTCACTGTCGCCTTCAATAAAGATAAAACATTGAACTCATGGACCTCTTCAATAAATACTCTACTCAACTACCTTTTCCCTGATCTGGCTCACAATAACATCTCTTCTAGAAAAGTTAGGGAAACTGTACATGAAAAGTACATGTCCATATACCTCAGTGAAACTGACCAAGCCCCATGCACTATACCACATAAGCTCAGACACCTCGGGAAAATAGGAGACAAATTCGGAATTAAACCATATCTGAAAGTAACCACCGCATTAGAACACCGCAAAGCAGTTACGAGGCTAAGACTCAGTGCTCACGACCTTCAAATTGAGAGATGAAGATACTGAAACACTCCAACAGAAGAAAGAATATGTACCCTCTGTGATATTGATGAAATAGAAGATGAGGAACACTCCCTGTTACAATGTCCTGTGTACAAAGACCTCAGACAGGAACTATATTCATCAACCACCTTGGCTATGCACCCAATATTTCTAAAAAATACTTATAAATCCAACAGAGCCTTTTGCAAAAAAATATCTCATTCATTCACAAAATGTTCAGGGAACGAAATCTGCATCTCCTCTCTAGCAATATATTCATAGCAATATTTGTATTCTATTGTGTATGTCAATGTTTAATTAGTCATGTTCATGTTTTGTACCCTGGCCCCTGTGGATGTTTATGAACAATAAATCTTCTTTGTCTTCGTCTTCTTCTTCTTCGTCGTCGTCTTCTTCACTCATGTATCATTTAACAGGCATTATACACATTGACGATCCAGTAGAACAACGCAAGTTTTAACAAAACAAGGACCATGTCCCGGTTGATATTGAAGTTAACTCTATTTGTCGGGTGCTCTGATTGCTGCCTCTGATAAACAAGACATGACGCCTACCATTAGCTTGACCCACGTGACGAAATTGTAGGTGGTCAGCACCTCTCGGTGCACAAAACGTATATAAAAGACCAGTTCCATTCTCCATCCCTCCAGATTTGCGGGTAGTAGTTTTTCCCGGTGTTCTAGGATCCCTGCCATTCCGTCAACATGTCAAGCTTCACCCAAGTGCTCGGAAGTCTGATTGTCGTCATTACCATCGCCGGAGCCTCCCAATTTAACTCGGTAAGAACGTTTAAACTGAATTTTAGTTATATTGATATAAATTGAATTTATTAATTTAAATTGAATTTTATTCATTTATTCAAATTAAATTTATTTTTAATTTTCTTTGAAGACCTTGAGGATTCGAATTATTACCAAATACAGTAAACTACGGTTATAACGAAGACAAAGGGACCACTAATTTTAGTACGTAATAACCATAGTTAGTTATAAGCATACATACATACAGCATATATACAACAAATGGCCGGGACTAAAATAAAGTTCGTTATATCCGTCAGTTCGTAATAAGCGTGTTCGTGACGAACGTAGTTTACTGAACCATGGTTATTTCATAACACACTATTGACAAGACAGTAGAAACATCCAGGCAAAAAAGAAAGTATACACCCATGTTTGATGGTGGCAAAAAATAAAAGAAACATGAAATGACAATTCGGTGGTAATGTATTTCATAGGGGAATTATAGATGCGTTTTGGCTCTTAAGTTTGTAGTGTTTCGGCGACTGTTTTACGCCTCGTCAAGTTTTGATAAATGTTTGTAATGTTTTGGTCAAATCCAAAGTTTATACTTTCTTTTGCCCTGCAGTATATAACGATGTAATGGATTTACTTAGTTCACAGTTTGTCCTAACTTGTTCACGGTAACGTATGTTTAACGACGTCAGTGGGTCATATTTAGACGTCAGTTGGTCATGTTTAGACGTCAGTGGGTCATATTTAGACGTCAGTTGGTCATGTTTAGACGTCAGTGGGTCATATTTAGACGTCAGTGGGTCACATTTAGACGTCAGTTGGTCATATTTAGACGTGGGTCATATTTAGACGTCAGTGGGTCATATTTAGACATGAGAGGGAAGTTGCAGAGTTGTGATCAATGATTTCTAAATTTTGATTGACTGTCTGATCGCTTTCATGTTCCCCGATTGATCGATTAACATATGTTTGTAATGTTTTGGTCAAATCCAAAGTTTATACTTTCTTTTGCCCTGCAGTATATAACGATGTAATGGATTTACTTAGTTCACAGTTTGTCCTAACTTGTTCACGGTAACGTATGTTTAACGACGTCAGTGGGTCATATTTAGACGTCAGTTGGTCATGTTTAGACGTCAGTGGGTCATATTTAGACGTCAGTTGGTCATGTTTAGACGTCAGTGGGTCATATTTAGACGTCAGTGGGTCACATTTAGACGTCAGTTGGTCATATTTAGACGTGGGTCATATTTAGACGTCAGTGGGTCATATTTAGACATGAGAGGGAAGTTGCAGAGTTGTGATCAATGATTTCTAAATTTTGATTGACTGTCTGATCGCTTTCATGTTCCCCGATTGATCGATTAACATAAGCGTTAGCATGAATATGCACCGTTAAGATTCCATTCTAGACAACTCCAATTTACTGAAGTTGCGAAATATTGAGCCCTTTGATTGCATACAGGTAATACGAGTTACTGCCATAAAATTAAACATCCATCTCTGTGACGTCATAGTTGACAACGCTACAACGTGATGTCACCTTTTCAATTTTCGTCTCTTACACACACTGTATTTTCTTAACAATGCCATCTTTACAGAAAACTTTCGTTCCATTTGGTGATGGACTTATTTAATAGTGAAATCTTTGCTTCCTCTCACAGTTAGTTGACACGTCGTGATATAACTGATATTCTGTTCAAAGCAGTGTCAAATGCAACCATGTTATCCTATCTTGATTTTAATTATCAAATTGATCCCTACTTATAACGTAGATGATTTCTCCCATATACCTGTCTCAAAGATTAACCATAATCCTTACTACAGCAGGGGTGGTGGGGTAGCCTAGTGCTTAAAGCGTTCACTCGTCACGCCGAAGGCCCGCGTCCCATATACCTGTCTCAAAGATTAACCATAATCCTTACTACAGCAGGGGTGGTGGGGTAGCCTAGTGCTTAAAGCGTTCACTCGTCACGCCGAAGGCCCGCGTCCCATATACCTGTCTCAAAGATTAACCATAATCCTTACTACAGCAGGGGTGGTGGGGTAGCCTAGTGCTTAAAGCGTTCGCTCGTCACGCCGAAGGCCTGGGTTCGATTCCCCCATGGATACAATATCTGGTTCCCCTGCTGTGATATTGCTGGATTCTTGCTAAAACCGGCCTAAAACCATACTCACTCACTCACTTTCTGCAATCAAGGAAGTGTTTTCTTGATATTCACAGGGGCGGTCGGGTAGCCTAGTGGTTAAAGTGTTCGCTCGTCACGCCGAAGACCCGGGTTCGATTCCCGACATGGGTACAAAGTGTGAAGCCTAATTCTGGTGTCCCCCGCTGTGATATTGCTGGAATATTGCTAAAAGCGGCATAAAACCATAATCACTCATTCACTCACTCACTTTATATTCACAGAAAGTATTTGAGACAATGAACGATCTAACCCACTCAGCCACCGACTCTTCCACAAAATGACTTCCGACAACTGGTAGTCCAGATCATGTACTTTGTGTACCCCTCTGACAAGTGTAAATTGGCACAGATTACCAGTTGTCGGACCATTTTGTGGAAGAATCGGTGGCTGAGTGGGTTAGATCGATGAAAAGAACCAAGTTCAGTTATGTCGAAACATATGGTTGGCTACTCTATACCACCATCCCATATGACAATCGTAAGGGAAAACTCCATTCCCTCATCCATGGGCCGTCACTTAACGTGGTGGACATGCATTAGATGTACTTACATCTTTATCTTCAAACATTCAAGACTTTTTTTGCCAATATAAAAGGAATTGAGCCCTGAAATTTACTGAGATCAATATTTGAAATTTTTCATTTCCTCATTGATAACATCTAAGTACATTTTGGGGTGATAAATTTAGGTAAGAAGTAAGCATCTCTATGTGAACCAATTGTGCTCCCCTTCATGCTGGTCTGTTTCTTTAAGCGTATGAAATGGACTTTGTGATATCGTTCCGGGAAAAATCAAAACGCGTGAATTAGCCATACGTTAAACTTAAGCTTTTGGCATATCAGGGGGCACGGGTGGCCCAGTCGTCTAAGGCGCCGCGATTCGCTGTGCAGAGTTGCGCCCCTTGGGCACGCCAGAAACCTATGATTGTGGGTTCGAATCCCGGTTCGCCCCAATTATGTTTCTAGGTTTGTCAGCACCATACCCGTGCTCATGGGTTTCACCAAGGTGGTAAACGTCTGAGACCTGCATCACTTCGGGCTTTCCTCCCACATTAAGCTGACACGCCGTGATATAACTGGAATAATGTTAAAAGCGGCGTTAAACCCAACTCACTCACTTTTGGCATATCGATGATCTGATATCGTTCAATAATGGTCAAATCCCCCTCAACTAGACATAAAAGAGACCAGTGAAGCCGTCTCATCAGCTTTGGTAGTTATAGCTATGAACATCGATTCAGAGTGACAAAAACTCTCCACAAGACTGTATGACAAGATAAATGACTTCAACATATTTTTATGAGATTGCAGTCTGTCCACGAACCCATATAATATCAGCGTGTTAATTCAACCCACTGACCTCGTAGAATAGTTTTGAAAACGTGGGAGGAAGCGAGAGCAAGAAATAATTTACATAAAACTGGTTACGAGAAACTGGTTCTTAACAACACTCTAGCACAAGGACGGCTTGGTATTGCGTAGTCCGTTGCGCCTCAATACTTCATCCAGACACACGACATCGGAAACACTTCATTTAGACACACAACACCCGCAACGTTCTCCATCCAGACACACGACATCGGAAACACTTCATTCAGACACACAACACCCGCAATGTTCTCCATCCAGACACACGACATCGGAAACACTTCATTTAGACACACAACACCCGCAACGTTCTCCATCCAGACACACGACATCGGAAACACTTCATTTAGACACACAACACCCGCAACGTTCTCCATCCAGACAACACCCGCAATGTTCTCCATCCAGACACACGACATCGGAAACACTTCATTCAGACACACAACACCCGCAATGTTCTCCATCCAGACACACGACATCGGAAACACTTTATTCAGACACACAACACCCGCAATGTTCTCCATCCAGACACACGACATCGGAAACACTTCATCCAGACACACAACACCCGCAATGTTCTCCATCCAGACACACGACATCGGAAACACTTCATTCAGACACACAACACCCGCAACGTTCTCCATCCAGACACACGACATCGGAAACACTTCATTTAGACACACAACACCCGCAACGTTCTCCATCCAGACACACGACATCGGAAACACTTCATTCAGACACACAACACCCGCAACGTTCTCCATCCAGACACACGACATCGGAAACACTTCATTCAGACACACAACACCCGCAACGTTCTCCATCCAGACACACGACATCGGAAACACTTCATTCAGACACACAACACCCGCAACGTTCTCCATCCAGACACACGACATCGGAAACACTTCATTCAGACACACAACACCCGCAACGTTCTCCATCCAGACACACGACATCGGAAACACTTCATTCAGACACACAACACCCGCAACGTTCTCCATCCAGACACACGACATCGGAAACACTTCATTCAGTCACACAACACCCGCAACGTTCTCCATCCAGACACACGACATCGGAAACACTTCATTCAGACACACAACACCCGCAACGTTCTCCATCCAGACACACGACATCGGAAACACTTCATTCAGACACACAACACCCGCAACGTTCTCCATCCAGACACACGACATCGGAAACACTTCATTCAGACACACAACACCCGCAACGTTCTCCATCCAGACACACGACATCGGAAACACTTCATTTAGACACACAACACCCGCAACGTTCTCCATCCAGACACACGACATCGGAAACACTTCATTTAGACACACAACACCCGCAACGTTCTCCATCCAGACACACGACATCGGAAACACTTCATTCAGACACACAACACCCGCAACGTTCTCCATCCAGACACAGGACACCGGCAATTTTCTCCAGCCAGACACCAGGTACCGGCGATAGATCATTCAGACACAGGACACCGGCAATGTCTAAAATGTCTTTTTTAAATTTTGTTCTCACTTGAACGTAAATCTATCATGAATTAAATGAAGTATTGCAGGTATATCAATGCCAATCAAATAGGGGAGAGAAGTAACACAGGTCGTGGTGGTTAACCTCTTTGGCGGCACTTTGATAATCGAAGGATCCGGAATTCACTCTACAGAGTTGCCTCCCTTATCCGTGACCGGAGAGAATACCTTACATTCCTTAGTCTTTGAGACCCATAACCGTCCTGGCGAGTATGAAAGCAATACAAAACTGCGTCTGTTTTGCTTTCCTCCGCAATAAAGCTAGCTCGACGTGTTATAATTGAAATAGTTCTCGCTGCCGCTAAAGAAAGCTCTGAGGACATCCCATTACGGGTCACGTCAGAACGACCTTTCGCGAATTTTGACCGACCACTGAAATGACTAACATGATGTCGACATCAGCCAATTAGAAAGTAGCTTTCTCGAGCTTTACGGCACTCGTTTAAACCTGGCGACTTCCATTACAGACTACCTTGAAAGATATGTATACACAGTCCTCGATTAAAATTTTGAAAACTGAACAAACGAACATTCCAAAATGTCTAATATAAGGTTGAGACAGTGTGGCAGTGCATCCCACGTACTGTGCAACGCCCCCTCCGTTCAAATGTTTATCCCGCGGGAGACAGACGATAATTTTGACGGAATCAGTCGTTCGGAATACACTGTTAACGTTTTCGAGGTTGCATGATTCTGACTGTCACTTTCATGATCTGGTAAGCGACGCTTTGATTGGTCGGATTTAAGGTCGTTCTGACGTGACCCGTAATGGGATGTCCTCAGATCTTTGTTTAGCGGTAGCAAGAACTAAAATCTTATTTTAATGAGATTGAGAAACGTTCAAACCATGTCACTCACCCACTCACTCACTCTCTGCTGATTGTTTCCAGCTATCGGTGCTGGCCCAGCAGCCCGACCAATGTGATATGAACACCCCATGCAGGTGGGCCGTCTGCGGCTGGAGGCCGACTCTCACACCCAACAGACAACTCTGCCGGTTTGTAGATAAGTAAGTATATCTTTCAATCACCTCCCTGCAGTTAGATATATACTACTCAATACAAGTTAAAGAACACAACATTTGAAAGAGTGTGTTAAATAACCACTAACCATGACAGATTAACTATAGTTTTACGAAAAAATCGTGACTTTTTATTTTGTTTTGAGTTGTATGTGTGTGTTGTCATGTCTTCCATAATTTGATTGGCTGAAGTGTTCCAGAAAAAAACCTTAACTTACAATCACTTAAAAAGATAATCGTTAGCTGGAGATGCTGGATGCCTGAGAAAATGTTTGGTGATTTATTTATATTTGTTCCTTAGTGGTGTCAGCCCATAAACGGCCTACCGTGTCGTCGTACGGGAATCTCGTTCTGCTCGGGTTTGCCCATGTTTGTTTGTTTGTCGCACTCAGCAATATTCCAGCTACACGTCGGCAAAATAAATAAATAATCGACTCTGGACAATCAAATCTTCCCGAGGCAAGCGTGTATATCTACTAGCCTATATCAAATCTTAGTTTCTACCCTTGGCCACACCAAGGCCACTTTTCTTGGCTCGTCCCTCGCGCCACCTCGCGTAGATCACGAGTTGTGCCCCTTGTAATGAGAACGCGATATCCAATCAGATCGCTGTTCTTTTCTCGAATGGTTTTACAGAGATGGCGACTGCCATAGACGACGACCTAGTCGATCAGATAACGAAAACATTCGCGATTTTCAAGATAAATACAGGCAAATGTTGAGGGGATTAAAAGATGACAAAGACATATTAGTGTCAACAAAGACCATCTTCCCGAGACAAGGGAGTTAACTGACTTTAATAGTCCAGTTTCCACCCTTGCCGAACTAGGCTGGAATTCCTGGGCTCGACCATAGCGCCACCAGTGGTTATTACGAGTTATGCCCCTTCTAAGCCTCTCCTATAGACTAATCAGATTCCACCTCTCGTATCACTTGCATTTGTTTCAAACAAAATGGTGGCGCCCAGTCAAGACGATCTGATCGATAATCAAGTCTATATATTGCGATCAAACGGGTCTTGCATAGCGAAGTGAATCAAAACACGTGAGCACCTTGACTAAAAACATGAAAAGACTTGGAAAATGCCTGTCGACGGTGCACATGCTTTGCAAATCCTGCAATCGACCGAAATCTGAACGACATTTTACGAACCGGTTTTCGATTTCGGTGAGTGGTTTTGATTGGACTTTGCATAGACTCGTTAGTCCAGCCAAAATGTAACTCCAAAGTACCAGCCTAGTTTGGCAAGGGTGGAAACTGGACTTTTATAGTCAGTTAACTCACATGCCTCGGGAAGATGACAAAGACAGGCAGCGGTAAATCACTTTCGTACGAATATGTACCAGTCGTGGATGTTGATTTTGTGAAACGCTCTCTGATTGGACTATAGATATGTGCGATAGTCCAATCATCTTTAGCACAGGAAAGCGTGCTTGATGTGGCAAGGGTGGAAACAAGACTTTGATAAAAAGGCTAGTGGACGCTCTTGCCTCAGGAAGAAGGGATAATATATATTATTTATATCATGAGCAGCGATTTACGCAATTGGGATTCAATGACATGCATCAAACAAATCATCGAGCCTGACCACCCGATCCCGTAAGTCGCCTCTTACGACAAGCATAGTCGCCTTACACAAATCTCATAATGTAGGTCATATGAACATATCTGATCATTTTCATACCAATATTTCAAATTCTTGTCAACCGTCAACTTTACAAAAAAATACATTTTTAGACTTTTGAACATGATACAGTGGGAATCGTACAGTTTACTGTTATTGACAGAGATTCCTTATGAAAATGGAAAGGGTTCTGTGCCTTTATTTAATATAACGGAGGACACCAAGCACAAGGACCCGTGAAGATCCGGGATAGAATAGGTCTTCAGCAACCCATGCTTGCCGTAAAAGGTGACTATGCTTGTCGTAAAAGGCGACTAACGGGATCGGGTGGTCAGACTCGCTGACTTGGTTGATGCATGTCATCGATCCCAACTGCGTGGATCAATGCTCGTGATATCAATCACTGGATTGTCTGATCCATACTCGATTATTTACACACCGCCGTCATATAGCTGGAATATGAGTGCGTCGTAAAACAACAAACCAAACCAAACCAAACCAAGCACAAGGGCCAACATACGTCACTTTTCCACTTCACTGTAAAACTATTTAATTCATGATGTTGTGACATAAAAAACAAAACAATATGAGTCCCTGAAAATTCAAATATACAACATGTACAATATATATTCACTCATTCAATTAACCTACGTTTTTCGAATAAACTGGTAAGTTTAACGTATGAATCTCGGTTAAATACACTTATTGATATACTGAAATATGAAGTATTGGTAAGTTATAAATTTCTAAAAAATTAAATATGTCAGCGAGCCCGTGATAAACCTGTTGGAAAACAACACACGAGGAGTTCCAAACATGTCCCATTAGATCCAAAAAGATCGGATTTCAATGAAACATTCTCAATTGGCCTGCAGGTCAGTTTCATGCAGGAACTCGTCTAAACAATCGGGATAATGTCTCGCGGCATCCGGTATTATACTTAATCAAAACACATTATGATAATGTGTCTAGAGCCGATATGACGAAAAAAGGATCAGTATGGCGGCTTCTCGTTAGATCTCGCGAGAACTGAATGCATGCATATCAGACGTGAAGATTTATCAATAATTGGCGTCATATCAGCAAAACAAAGGCATGCTATTTCCGGAGAAATTTGATTTTAGTAGTTGTCAGACTCATTTATACGCCGATCCGTCTTGTGGTACCTCAGCGACTCCATTCTATGCAGACTTACGCACGCCTATCGGAAACGCAGATGAATATATTTATGGTATGACGGAGAGAAAGTTATTAAATGTTTTCACCGAAGCCCACTTATGTGTGAAAACGTGTGTCGGTGAAGACTTCAATGATTTCTTCATCAGAGGCTTTGCTTGTGTTGAGAAAGGTGTCATAAAGGAATTAAATCATATGCTTTCCAAAGCCCTTGTCTGCGTAACTCGGGCACTGTGACAGTGGAGATCCTATGTTGCAGGGACAGCCTACTGCATGTGTTTGTGATGAGATGAAACCTTGGCTCACGTAGCTGTATTCACTGTCAGTAAAACTTGAAAATAAACGGATTCCACTGTTGTTCCATTTGTACCAAGACCACCTCCGTGGTCTAGTGTTAGAGCGTCCGCCCGGGGAGCGGAAGGTCCGGTGGTTCGATCCCCGGCCGCGTCATAGCTTGTTGTTACCCTGTCTGGCGCTCGGCATTAAGGGGCTAAAACAAGGACTGGTCGGCTCGGAGTCAGTATACTGTGTCTGAGTGGAGTATTCATGTTAAACTGCGGCATGGTATCTCAGCACTATCGGCATCAGTCCGGACTAGTACAAGCAGCCACACAAATACACACACGTACATGCACGTCGCTATATAAGTGCAATAATCTTGGACGCGACGTTAAACCCCATTTCACCTCACCTCACCTCACCTCACCTCACCTCACCTCACCTCACCATTTGTACCAACCTTTTTGGCCGTCGCCTATTGATAGCCAACAGGCGACGGCAAAAAGGCTGTTACAAATCTGTATCATATCCGGTTATATGTGCGCATGCGTAACATCCTGGGGGTTATTGATTAACAAATGAACATGGAGACTCGCGTTTATCTCGAATGTTTATCTTGAACGAACATAATTACGACAAACTGCTCTGGTATGTTGATTTTGCCGAGAGCACTTTTACTTAACAAACAAACTAAGTTATTATTTGACACCCAGAAATAAGTTTGAAAGAAAAGGGTTTTAAAATATTCTATTATTTTTTATAACATCACCCTTGCTATGGTTTGAGGGAGATATAAGAAGACATTTTTTGACACAATAATACCTTTTCATGTTAGGGTAGTCAAGTTGTTTAGTCACCTGTCAAGTGGTCGTCTAGCTGAAGATCGGTGTTGAATGTCCAGATAGGTACAATGTGTGAAGACTATTTATGGTATTCGATGTCGGGATATGGCTTGAATTTTTTTTAAAGGAAGCTATAATCATATAGCTTACTCTAATTGTGAACATCTAAAAGAATAATTTTAATCTGCCTCAGTGTTTAACAGTGGTGACACCAGGTGTTCTGGGCCTGTCTCACTGATGGCGTGAGTGAGTGAGTTGGGTTTAACGCCGCTTTTAACAGTATTCCAGTCATATCACGGTGTGTCAGCTTAACGTGGGAGCAAAGCCCGAAGGGATGCAGGTCTCAGACGTTTACCACTTCTGTGAAACCTAAGAGCACGGGTATGGTGCTGACAAACCTAGAAACATGTCCTGGGCAAACCAGGATTCGAACCCACAATCATAGGTTTCTGGCGTGCCCAAGGGACGCAACTCTGCACAGCGAATCGCAGCCCTTAGACCACTGGGCCACCCGTGCCCCCCTGATGGCGTGAAGAAGATGAACTAGATTGTGAATGCCTTGTAGTTCCACACTACGTATGTTTAACACACTCTAGGAGATGCCCGCGTGGAGATCCGGGATAGAATAGGTCTTCAGCATCCTATCTCTTAGGAGGCGACTAACGGGATCGGGTGGTCAGACTCGCTGACTTGGTTGATGAATGTCATCGTATCGAATGTCAATCGTTCATGATGTCAATCGCTGGATTGTCTAGTCCAGATAATTTACAGACCGTCGTCATATAGCTGGAATATTGCAAATAAACAAATCTAGGGTATGCCATACCGCCATCAATAAATGATTACACTGATTAGGAGAATGAACATTTTCAAATCATGTTGTAACTTCTTGCAGCTGCCAATGTCCAGAGGGCACCTCGTGCGAACTGACCAGTAACATCAAGCCTGGCCCAAGCAACGTCGTGACCTTTGACTACCAGTGCGCTTCCACCAGAACTGGACGTTAGACCCCAGCGCCACCTACCAAAGGGGAGTAATCACCACACCTTGTGAAGTCGAATTACGTACAAGACACTATGGACTAAATGCTCACATACGCTTCAAGGAATGAATGTTACAGTTATAAGTTTACTGTCAGGCAAGTTAGCTAGGTCCATTAATTCTCTGATAGGTAATTTGTTTGTACATTATGAATGGATTTTGTTTTAAAGCGGGGTCCGTACATACATACGATGATATATCGGAAACCCCGTTTTCTGGAAACATTTGGGGCGGTCGGGTAGCCTAGTGGTTAAAGCGTTCGCTCGTCACGCTGAAGACCCGGGTTCGATTCCCGACATGGGTACAATGTGTGAAGCCCATTTCTGGTGTCCCCCGCCGTGATATTGCTGGAATATTGCTAAAAGCGGCGTAAAACCAAACTCACTCACTCACTCTGGAAACATTTCGGCAGTTGCTACTGGGAACGTCAACATACAAGAGACACAACTTCATGCAAAGGATTCGTAAGTCCGGACAATTGATAATCTGGACGGTCCTGATAACGGGGTTAGAGCGATCATCATAAGCAGTATGTTATTCCAGGTGGTCCCTTTAGGTGGTCCCTTTAGGTGGTCCCTTTAGGTGGTCCCGTCAGGTGGTCCCGCCAGGTGCACTGTGATGAACCGCTTCTCATGAAGCACCAGATGTAGTAGGATGTGGAACTTAATGGATTGGTAGTGGAATGTTTTTAGATTAGATGTTCTCTCCACATTTGCGCTTGTAAAACACCCGGATGTCGTGGAGCAACGCAAAGGATCGCATCAAACACCACCCAGGAAGTTCCACGGGTCTTTGTGTAGATTGTTAATATAGTATAATGCTATGGATATATGCGACATGAACTGACTAAGAGTGTTTCCTATCATATGTATAAGTAAGTATTCTCTTCAATATTTTGGTTTAAAACGGTTAAGAACTCCAATGTAAATCACGATATTAACGCCTACAATGCTCCTGTGTGTTTGTGTCACACTGAATGAATGCTTGGAATAAATACATATATTCACAATATTTGTGTTCATCGTTTTCAGTATATGCCACTTGTCAAAGACAGGGGGCTACAAAGGACATTTTAGCTTTATTTGCCATAGTTAAACTGACAATACATTTGTCTTGTCGTAAGAGGCGTCTAACGGGATCGGGTGGTCAGGCTCGATGACTTGGTTGAAGCATGTCATCGATCCAAATTGCGTGGATCGATGCTCATGATATCAATCACTGGATTGTCTGGTCTAGACTCGATTATTTACAGGCCGCCGTCATAAAGCTGGAATATTGCTGAGTGCGGCGTAAAACAACCAACCAACCAATCAACCATCCATGCGTTATCACTTAACGAGGTCGATGACATCATTACTCCCACATACATCTGATGCCTAATGTCTGTAGATATCATTGAGAATAATCATTAACACGTATGACTTCATAGACAAGGTTTCCATATTTTACAAAATACCATTAGCAAAGAAATGTTTCTGAAATAAGAAAAGTTTGAAATGCTTGCTAGACTATGAGACGATATATGTAATTCACTTCACGCTTAAAGATGTGGAAACTCACATTATGGTGTTGGTTTTGCTTGTTGTTTAACGCCGCACTCAGCAATATTCATGCTATATGACGGCGGTTTGTAAATGATCGAGTCTGGACCAGACAATCCAGTGATTGATATCATGAGCATCGATCCACGCAATTGGAATACGATGACATGCATAGAACAAATCACCCTGTCCATCCGATCCCGTCAGTCGCCTCTTACCACAAGCATGGGTTGCTGAAGGCATGTTCTAACTCGGATCTTCACGGGTAACGTAATGATTGAACGCTGCAATCAATCAAAACATATTTACTGGTCTGGGTTTTCCCGACTCCATTTTTAAAATGCTAGGATCACGTGTGCCTGGTATGTCTTAAGTGAAAGCGAATTATATAAATGCTGTAATTTCGTTTAATTCAACATTCATGCCTCGGTTAGTTCCCCTCGTGAACATTAAATTACAAACTACCAACTTCATCAGTACCCAAGTACCCAAATTCAATAAATTCTTCATGCAAAATATTAATGAAAACTCATTGTGCCATATCAGAGTGTTGGATGGTGTGGTTTACGACATCTTCCCGAGGCAAGGGAGCAAACTGACAATAAAAGTCTAGTTTCCACCCTTGTCGAACTAGGCTGGAATTTCAAGGCTCCATCATAGCGCCACCCGTGGGTGTTACAAATAAAGTCCCTTTTATGAACCAATCAGATTCCACCTTTCATACCGCTTGCATTTGCTTCAAACAAAATGGCGGCGCCCAGTCAAGACGATCTGGTCGATAGTCAAGATGTATATTGTCATAAAACTGGTGTTACCCCTCAAATCAAGTGAGCACTTTGATTAAAAACATGAAAAAAATTGCAAAATATCTGTCGGCAGTACATTTGCTTTGCAGATCCTGCGGTCGCCCGAAATCTGCATGTTGAAATCCATGTTGTTTACGAACCGGTTGTTTAGTTCAAGTTTAATTTTGATTGGACTCATAGACTCTGTAGTCCAGCTAAAATATAACTCCATAATTCCTGCCTGGTCCTGCAAGAGTGGAAACGGGACTTTTATAGTCAGTTAACAGTTAACTCGCCTCGGGAAGATGGGTTTATGACAAATTAGTTGGATTTGCAGACTAACGTTTAATAACGCCGAATAAGGGTGAGCTTCGGCACCGCTGGTAACTCTTGACATATTATGACACTAGTTTGATAAGAACTGTCCCACACCGCTGACTCGTTTGCAGTTACCCCCTTGCGTCATGTACCTCTGATTATTGTGCTTGAAAACCTGCCGGGCAAAAGAAAGTTTACATCTACATTTGATGGTGGCTGAAAGTGAAACACACAAGAAATGGTTTTGAATTTGATAGGGGTATCGTAGTTTTGGACCTCAAGTTTACAGTGTTTCCGTGACTGCTTTCAGCCTAGTAAGGTTTTGATAAGGTTTGTATTTTTTTTTGTCAAATCCAATTTTCAAATTTATACTTTCTTTTGCCCTGCAGTTTTCATAATTATTACCACTTTCTGAATGGATACCCACGTGTCTCTTCAAGCAAGGTGCTTTTTGGATAAATAAGAATGGAAGGTTTTATCAATCTTTCTGTAGAGTGTAGCGATTGATGATTATTGATAGTTTAACTCTGCACAGCGATGATGCACAAAACAACAACAACAACAATAACAACAACAACAACAATAATAATATTAATTTCAATAAATAAAGTCAATATACCGTTTTCTTTTTGCAGTGTGTGAAACTTTTATCCAATCAATAAACATATTATAAGCAAAAAAACCAAAGTGGCTTCAAATGTGTAAAGAAATAAAGAATGTATACTAATCAAAAGAAGTTAAAGAACATCCGATAACTTCACATCACTAACTTGGTTCAACTATTTAGCAGTAAGCTTACAGACATGGAACACAGATAGCTAGTCTGTCTTACAGTATACAAGTATATCAAATACAGCCCTTGCAAGCCCAGCCTTGTTTGGCAAGTCTAGATTACTGCAGTATCATGATGAGAGTCTCTGGGCTCCTTTTTACTATAATTTTATTGTGATATTTGAACAACTGTTTTTTCTGTACGATATGTTCATTTCAGAGACTAGGTGTTAGTCTAACAGATGGCCGGTCATATACGCAGCCATTCAGTGTGCAGAGGAGTTACGTCCCCTTGTGTGTGAGTCCGTGGTTTAATGAGCATTGTGTTGTCAGCACCCGTGGGTTCACCAAAGTAGGTTTATACCTGCATAACTTCGCGTTTCCTGCGATGCACTAGATACTGTTCACTGGAGGGCAAAATATTCCCCCCTGACATTTACTCCTCAAAGTCTGTGCTTTCCAAATAGGTTCAATTATGAATCCATTGCGCAACCCTGGGATAGAGTGATGCGTAATATGTGAATCGCCTTACCATCCGTTTCCGGAATTGCTGGAGGTGAATGTTTGGCTTGACTCTAAAACCTATCCTCTTTTGACCTGGAATCCAAAGTTCCATAAAAATCCGAACAAAAGATACATATTGCTGGGTCAAGCAAATGTACCACCAAATCCTCGACACACATATTAACCTAACCTTTAATACAAACAAGGAAGGACTTTCTTTATATTCCCAGAAAGTATTTTTGAGAAAGAGAATTAATACAACGCGGATTCTCAAAAACTTAAAGGATTTGCTTGAATTTTCGCAATCTCAGAAAAGAACAGTATGTTAAAAAGTGCGTTCAATTCCGTCAAAATATGGGATTTCTTAACTTTGTACACAACTATCCCACACGACAAACTAAATGGGGAAATTTATTCTTTGTCCCATTGGGTATTTGTCACAAGGCTCGTTGACCATTTACATAGGTGTATCTCTATCTTCAATGAGTGAGTGAGTGAGTGAGTATGGCTTTACGCCGCTCTTAGCAATATTCCAGCAATATCACGGCGGGGGACACCAGAAATGGGCTTCACACATTGTACCCGGGTCTTCGACCCGACGAGCGAACGCTTTAACCACTAGGCTACCCCACCGCCCCCTCTATCTTCAAAGGGGGCACGGGTGGCCCAGTCGTCTAAGGCGCCGCGTTTCCCTGTGCAGAGTTGCATCCCTTAGGCACGCCAGAAACCTATGATTGTGGGTTCGAATCCCGGTTCTCCCTGATTATGTTTCTAGGTTCGTCAGCACCATACTCGTGCTCGTGGGTTTCACCAAAGTGGTAAACGTCTGAGACCTGCATCACTTTGGGCTTTCCTCCCACATTAAGCTGACCCGCCGTGATATGACTGGAATACTGTTAAAAGCGGCGTTAAACCCAACTCACCCACTCTATCTTCAAAGGTTCAGGACAAATTGTCAAATATGAAAGCAAATGTCATATGAAAAATGTCGCTGTGAAACGAAATACGTGAAACGTTGGACTTCCTCATTGATAACTATCGATGTGAAAGTTGGGGAAATAGGACATTTCGGCAAGAAGTAAGCATCCCCATGGGCACCAATTCTGCTCCTCTTCTTGCTGATCTGTTTCCTTAAGCATATAAATCGGAATTTCTGCTCGGATTGGCAAAATCAAAACAATGAATTTGGACTAGAAGTTCGATCAAACCGACTTAAGCTTCGGTTTTATCGATGATCATATATCGTTGAATGTCGGTCAAACAGCCTATTCCCTTCCACTGATTTACAGCACTATAGAGCAGTA